AGGCGCTCGAATTTTTCGGGAGGGGAAACACGTTGGCGGTTTTCTGCTTGGGCGATTTTCTGTTCACTTCTGCTTGGCCAGTTTTCCACCCGGTTAAGTCGTGCAGAATTTTCCCGCCAACTCTGGCGGCAGAGTCAAATTCCCTGAGAAGGGATAAGGAATGTGTTTTGAAATTTAATCCGCGCGTCTGGGGATGCGCCTAGAAACTGAAAATAATCCCCTTGACCGGAATGCAGAACAAATAGAAGTCGAGAAATTGGCGCGCTGCCAGTCTCAATGAAAACAAACCCCATCCTCTGGGACAATTACTCCGTCCTTCTAGTCCCCACGTTTTCGGGGTCAAATAAACCTCTTCTTATCTCCATAACAATCAAGGAACTAAAAGGAACAACCAGATTTTTCCAGGAGCTGGTCCCATTTGTCACTCCCCTTATTTCTCAGCACCCCAAAAACAGCGTTTCCCTTGGAAATTAAATTTTAGACGTCCGCTGTCAGTCAAACAAGCGTCGAACATCCTAAAATGGCAATTTATCTCTGTTTCTTGAAATCGTGTATAGCCTTGTAAATTGGGAAACTCACAAACCAACCGGTTTTTGGGAGAACATCTCCTATGAGTCTTACCAATAAAACCCCACTATAAGTCGAAAAACACCAGCACGTGCGCCACCTGGTGTTTTTAATTCTTGACGCCCAGCACCTGGGAATCCTCTTGACGAACAATGTAACCCCCATTTTTTCAAGTATAGAGACCCCTGATTTTCGCAAAAACGACACAGTCTGATTTTTGTGTTTGAAGCATTACGTCATATCTGTGAAATTCGTACTTATTGAAAATAAAATTTGCAAAAACTATTGTGAAACTGTTGTGAAATATTGCTGTGAATATTTTTTTCTTGTACCTTTGTCTTGATTGTTGATACGCTTAAACAAAGGCTTGCGCTTTTTGGGAGAGAATCCCTGGTTGGTTTTCGCACTGGCCAATTGTTGTGTTTTACTTCCTTATTTTTGATTTCAGAAACTTTCTCCTTATTTCCTACATTAACATATCTGACAATTATCTTTTGAACTTCCAATAATAAAATTCTCTAACAAGGTGTTCAGCTTGACAACTCTCTTTTTTTCTGATTGATAAAACCATACATAAGTTTTTTAGATTGATCGTTTTTAATTATTGAAGGAGGCGCAGCAAGTCCCCAACAATAATATGCGTGTGGCAAACTTGTTGAGATCTCACTGATTTGCATGATACTGTATTAGGTTTCTTTGCTACCTCACGTTTCATCTTCGCTATCATTAAATCGATTTAATGTGTAGATTTTGAGATAATGGGTTAAAATGAGTATTGAACCTCGCGTTTTTTCACGATTTAATAATTTTTCTCAATGCGGTACGCTAAAATCGATTACAATATTGTAGGTTTTTATAAAACTTTTTTACTGTACTTGACCCCGAATCTTGGAGTAATGAGCAGATCTCGCCTGAATCCATAACATGATCGCACCTGAAATAACCTGAAGAGATTGACCCAAACTAAGCTAATAAACGATTTAAAAGAAAAATAGGACAGCACAGTATCAAAAACCCGGGCGAAACATGATACGGCGACGTTTGCGACATCTGTCGTTGAAATTAATAGAATTACATTTGAAAATTTTGAAACTCGCTCCTGGTTCGAACTGGTGATCTTTTGAGCTTGAAATAAAACTGCTTATTTTGTTTTCTCTTCGAAGGAATTGAATCCCAAGTTCTGCATTCAACACGGCGGTGCAGAAGACCGGTTGCCCACTTCGTCAACATGCATGAACTTGCTCAAGCTTTCGGAATACTCAAGCACGGAAGTGATGGACTCGAAGCTTAAATACGCCATCCGANGCGAAGGACTGCCTTCATAAATTATCAACAGAGATGAACAATAAAACCGGAAGGTGTCCAGCGTCTCGAGAGAATGCCGCAGACGCTTGAGACGAGTCAGGATTTTCGGCAAGAGTTCCCGATGGAATACTTTGCCGTTGTTCAGGAATTGGCACAGGGCATCTTGGAAATTTTCCACCTTCAAGGCCCTGCCGTCATACTTGTCCCAGCACAGGAACCCCCCAGTGTTCGCCTGATACACCTAGAACAAACGATTGATGACATGAAGATTCAGCAAAATCCACTTTTCACGAATAAAACCTTCTCCGCTCGCAAAAAAGTTTCCGAATATGTCTACAAAATTGTGTTGAACACGTCAATTTTCGGGGGATTACTGAGGCCTGAGTAAGCTATTCGCGAACAAAACTCGGTCATTCAGCTAAACTTTCGACGAGATACGCAAATTCAATTGCGCTAGTCGTTTTGGAGGGAAGCCAGATGCCAGAAGAAAGATCCCATATGGTTCCACAAGCCTCTGCTATTTTCACACACACGGGCTAAAAATAAACACCGATTTCGCATGCCGGCTTTATTGCTATTTTCTACGCAGCTTTTCGGCGCCGCCTCACGAACGCCAGAGAAATAATCCATGCTTAATCTTGATTGGTGAATGTTCTGAGGCGTTTATTCGAATATTATGTGTTTGTTATCAATTTTTTCGAGCGTGAAATGAATCTGTCTAATAGGCTCAGATGCTTACTTGCATGCCACAGATCCGAACGCCGAGCTTCGCAGTCGTGGTCGCAGCACCTTTGTCTGCCTTTGATGCACCCCTTCTTTTTTCCTATTACTTTGGGGGATGTGTGCGTGGTATGAAATTAAGTACTGTACTGAATAGTACAGTATTCATGATCAGAATATGCAATAAGCAGCCCTACTGGTTTCCATGCAGTTCTCTGCTGTATCTTCCCAAGTGGGGAAATTGGTGCAAACTGGGGTTGTAACTATACTGTGTACCTGAAGTGTACCAAAGTTCTTCTTTTGCACATGTACAGTATATCCCTAATGTGTACCAAATGTGTGTTCATACCACGATTACTCAGGGTTATATTTGTGAACAAATAAGTTAAACCAAGGTTACAGTTGGTGCATTTGTGTGTTACTCCTGTTATGTCACATTTGTGCACCAAATGTAGCCCTGGAATGGTAGCAAAATTTCATTGACAGAGGTGCATGCTTGTAACCCCAGAATAGCGCATGGACACCAGTGATGACCACAGTGTGCACCAGTTGTGATGTTGCACAAAGAATAACTCCCCATTTCTGTTCTTATTCTTCCTGCTGTAGACCTGTAGTGCTGTTGTCAAGTGAGAGGGATTACAGTATGAAAAGAAGTTTCTTCAAAATTGTGTTCAACCTGTCCATACACAGGTACTATTAAAAGCTGGCTATTGTTACCTTGAATGTCCTATTTGGCCTGGCACTTATTAGAGACTGGGCCTCTATTAGATCCTTGTTATAAAGCACTGCATTATTTTATGCATCAGCTGCATTGATTAACACAATGCCAGAAACTAACATCGTATTTTATTTTTATATGTTTTGGTTAGATTGCATTTTGTGAGATTATATGGAATTGAATTTTTGTCACATCCTTGTACAGCAGTACTATGACATATATTTTGTATACCATCAGAAGTCTTTTGATTCCACAGAATTTTCTTATGAAAATGAAATTGTTCGCATATTAGGTCATTTATTTGAAGTGGTTCATGCTACTGTATACTTATGAGCAAAATTGCTGCTGCTGATGTTTGCAAACAATTTCAAAATAAGTCATATAAAAGCAGAACCTTGTATGCGTGATTTTAGTAATCAATTTGTAACTCATAGAAAAATGCAAAGTGGTGCTCCATAAGTGGTTTTACAATTCAATACTGTATTTGCCAGAAGCTATTGGTAGAAAAAAATGCAATTTCCTTACTCAAACATGCTGATTCGAAGTACTGCACTGTATTGTACTGTGATCATTCCCAATTTTCTCCAACAGCATCTTATGTATCCATTCAGTTCAATCTATCAAACTTTTTCTCAAGTCACAATACAGTAATTGCCTACTGCTTCATCTTTTTGTTTATTGGGGGTCAAATTTGAATTTTTATTCATTGTGGTAATACTGTAAAAAGAATACATAAAAGTAAATCTTATGGGTTCCATAAAAATACACAAAATCTTCCAATTAAGTTCGAAATAGGATGGAAATAATGTACTTCAATAGTAACCTGGAGTTGAATAAATCAGACAAAATCCTTCATCCTTTTTCAAAGCGTTGGTTTCTAGCAAAGAACTGTGTAGTTTTCTTTTGTTTGGTTTTTTTTAATCCAAAGGAGATTCCAGCAGCGGTCAGGTGTGTCTTAAAAGGAACATTGAGAGGATTTTTTATTGTTTTGAGAAGAGCCAGCAGGTTATTTAAACTGGTTGTACATGAACTTGTGTATCTCCAACGTTTGCCAGCATATATTCAATGAAAGTTCCAGACAGCAACTTGTGAAAAATATCCCATTGAAGCACTTCCGTCTGCCATTCTTTGCACGCATAAATACGAGGGTTCTAACAAAAGTTCTCGGAGTAGCAAAGAAAATGGCTTAAAATTGAGCTGAAAAAAATTATTCTTTAGGGAAAACATATTCTTCGGCACACAAAAAAATATCAGCCCTGTTTGACAATTTTTTTTGAATTTTTTCATAATTCACCCTGGCAGAGTTTTGCTCTACACTCAAAAGATGAGGCGCCCTTTTTTTGTTGTAGCCCAGCTTTCCCCTAATTCTGAGGGGAAAGCTGGGCTACAACAAAAAAAGGGCGCCTCATCTTTTGAGTGGAGAGCAAAACTCTGCCAGGGAGAATTGAGAAAAAAATTCAAACAAATTTGTCAAACTGGGCTGATATTTTTTTGTGTGCCAAAGAATAAGTTTTCCCTGAAGAATAAATTTTTTTCAGCTCAATTGTAAGCCATTTTCTTTGCTACTCCGAGAACTTTTGTTAGAACCCTCGTACAAGGGATCAAACAAAAGTTCTTGCAATAAAAACCGAAACAATATATAGGATTGAGCTGAAAAATGATTATTGTTCAGAGAAAATTGATCCTCCGCATGTTCATCCAAAGTTTGTTGGCTGTGAATAATGTAAATGGCGCAATGACCTTGGAAGACATTACATATGCAACTTTTTGAATTAATGCCATGCTGATTTGAAGAATTCTGAAGAAGAAGCTGGGCTACGCAAAACGAAAAATTGCGAGATGGTCACCTCATCTTTTGAGTGAAGGCTGCCAGAGTTACTTCTTAAAAAAAAAGTTTAATGCATTGAAACAGGGCTGCATTTTTTTTTCTTGCGCCAAGAAAAAAAGATTATTTCTGAAAAACTCGTTTTTCAGCTCAAGCCTATTATACATGCTGTTTCAATGTCTACTCTGAGAACTTTTGTTATACCCCTTGTATGCACGGAGTTTGATTTCGGGGTTATTTACGATTTATATAATAGCTAATTTTTCAAATTCCCATCAGTAATTAATTTTTTGATTGTCCTGCTCTTTTTTGTTGTTGAATTTTTATTATTTAGCCACCGTGTTCCTGAGTGGAGTAGCCGGGGCTTCGCTTCTCTTCGGATTCGGTTCAGCTGTTGCCATGGCGAAAAAGAAAGATCCGACGTCGTTCTCACAGGGCATGACTGTTGGTGGCGGTGGAGAAAATGGCGCTTCTTTGGCCCTGCGGGCCCTGGGGCGCGGGACAGTCTACGCAGTTCTTGGTGTGTCAGTGATATCTTGGGGCGTGTGGAAATTGTCCGGTGCGGAAAATGTGAGCAACAGTTTACTCTGATCATTTCATATACGAGGGTTCTAACAAAAGTTCTTGGAATAGAAATTAAAATGGTATATAATTGAGCGGGGGGAAAAGTATTCTTTAGGGAAAACATATTCTTTGGCACACAAAAAAATCAGCCCTGTTTGACCAATTTTTTTGAATTTTTGCAAAATTCACCCTGGCAGAATAAGTTCACCATTCACAGCTGCCAATGTGGCGGCTCTTGATGAAAATGGCGGAATTACCTTGGAATACCTGGAGGCAACCCTTGGAATTAATGCCACATTGATTTCAAGAATTCTGAGGGGAAAGCTGGGCTATAACAACAAAATCTGCAGGAAGGGTGCCTCATCTTTTGAGCAGAGAGCAAAACTCTGCCAGGGTTAATTTTGCAAAACATTCAAAAAATGTGTCAAAACAGTGCTGATTTTTTTCTTGTGCCAAAGAATATTTTTTCCCTAAATAATGATTTTTTTTTAGCTCAATTATATGCCCTTTTAATTTCTACTCTGAGAACTTTTGTTAGAACCCTCATACTGCAGTCAAACTTTGATGAGGGACCAGCAAAAAAATAGGAGTTAGGGACACAAGCATTTTTGATGGAGGTGGAGTAGGGGAAGAGAGAAGAATTACAGGATATTGTGATTATAGTGATATTCTGTGCTTTGAAATTAATGAGTTAACAGGATGCTGAAGTTGGAGGCAAAGGTTTATTTTCCCAATTAGTCTTTCACTTCCTTTCAAAATGCAAAAATTAAATTTGTATACTGCTTTTAACTTCCCTGTGTCAATAAAATAATGACCAAAAGATCTCCAGAAATTTTGCTTTATGGAAGTTTAAAAGCATTTGAGGCAGGGTAGTTTTTTTAATGCATTGTTTTTAAAGGAATTCAGGCAGGCATTCAAAAGGAAATTTGTTGTACTGAGGTATTCAACTTGGGCAGATGTTCAACACTGTACTTCAAATATTGCCATAAACTATAATTTCTTCTGTAAACATTTTCCATGATGGAATGCAATATCAGCATTTCAGTAGTAAATTCTTTTTATTTCGTTGTAGCCTCATGAACCAGCCAAAGGAATTGCTAATCTTGAGCCAATTTCCTGTTGCCCTTTGCAATAGCAGCGCTATCTATTTGTTTTCCTCTTGAATTCTTGATTGAGTTTCCGCTCTTGTCACTATGCCCAGTATTGAGTAAAAAAATACAGGAAACCAAAATATTATTTTTTCATTTCGCATGTACTGGATTACCAGAAGTTGAGAACTGAGGTGGGTTATTTTCAGTTTGCCTGGTGTCACTGCTGCAGGCATATTCTATTTTCGTTGGCTTCTTATGAAAAGCTGATTCTGCACGTGTTTGCTTAGATTTGTTGCAAACTTTTAAAGCTGATTCAGAACACAATGCAAAAGAATATTGCTACACTAAAGTTATTGGTGGTATCTGAAAAAGAAATCCTTGACACAAAGTACATGATGTATCTGTTTCATGGACACTAAGTGTGTTAGTGAAGTGTTAATGTTGTGTAACATATTGTGCTTATGAAGCAGGGTCTGTAAAGAGTAAGGTTTAAGTGTAACTTTGTTTCACCAAAATTCTACTGTACATGTACTTTCCAAATAGAATGGAACAAATCATGATGAGAAAGTGCTTGATTCAGGGTAGCCCTTGAGTAACTTCGCGATAAAACTCTTTACATTCTAAAACTGAAGTGATGTGCTTCTTGTGTGGGTTTCATCCATTTGACTGGAATTGAACTGCTAATGAAAAGTAACGTTGTTAGATTTACTTATGTTTAAAAATAATGTGTAGCCCTTTTATATTACCTGTTCAGAAAATTGAAAATTATGTTCTGAAGTATTCCCCAAACTGCGCATAACAAAGCTTCTAAATGAAGGTTCAGTATTTCATGGGATGAGCGGAAGTTTCTGAATTCATTACTGTACTCCCTACTTGAGTAACTATACGCGGCAACGTAAGTCGGAAAATGCGACAGCTCCTAGCATGATTCAGAAAAACCTTGTAGAGTGCCCGTGACTTGCTTGGGGATGACTCGTCAAGGGGGTAGATTATTCAAGGTTTGGTGTTCAACGGAATGCCTCTTTGTGATAATATACAGAACTGTGAATGATTGTTCGTCCTCTCGTCGTGCTGAACGTGTATTTCCGCCATCTCAGGCGCAACACGGAGCACTTCCGCCGCAAACTCGCTTTTGTTTTCCGGGTTGAACACGAACACGGGATGACGGGATCCAGTGTACAGTGTAAAACTCGGGATAACAGTATTCGATCGGCTTTCCACGAACTTTCATCACGAAGATACTGTATTTCGAAACGCGTACGATCATCCGTAGAAAATTTTTACTGTAGTTTGAAAAGGATACAACACTGTAACTATTACCTAACGCGCTGTGCGTGTGTTGTGCAGATTATTACGCCGTGGAAAGATTGTGAAGCAATTCAGTTCCACGGACCTCGGTGCATGTGCTTTTTTTAATCAATTTACGCAGCAAGGTCATTCAGGATTAGGTAAACAGCATGATTCCGTAATCTTAATTTCAGATGAAGGACTTCTGGTTGAAGGTTCAGAGCATCTTCCCGCAAGTGAAGAAGAACGAACCACCAGTTGGCCGGACGGAATTCGATGGTTTCCGCGATCTTTTTGAATACCTTTCTGGCGATTATTCGCGGAAAAAGTAGTGTGACCAATTTTTTTTGGTAGTTTTCTTGTATGAATGAGATATGTGTTCCAATTCAGACCTTGTCATTGATACATTCATGGTGCAGGAGAGTGCTTTTGAGTGATTCCTTTCCTTCTTCATAGAATCTTGCGGCCGGCCGGGTAAGTGAGGTATTCGTGATTTAAGTGAGAATAATGGCTGGTTGGTTTTGGCCGGGTGATGAGATTCCTGGTTCTTTGTCCAAGCGACACCAAATCGGTTCGTGGTTTTCTTATTAAGAATTTTTCGCTGTGGTTTCAGTGAAAATTTGGAAGCAGAGTGCTAATCTTCTATATTTTTTCTTTGTGCAACATTCGAGAAGCTATAATCATTAATCTATATATACAATATTCATATACAATACTGTG